TTCTGTTATTGCCTTTTATTTGAATATTTCCATTTGTTTTGTAATACTATATGCTTAATGTTGAATAGTAAAACTCAAAATGTAAATTAAAACAGTATAAAATGAATTTTGCAAATGAAGTTGACGTTAGTATTTTAAAACTGAATTTTCATATCAATTTACCTTTTGAAAATTGGGATTCCTATAATGGTATTAAAATGGTCATTGTATTAAATTGCCACAAATGAATATAAATTCCACTTTGAAACCCATAATCTCAATATATTATAAATATTTAAATAACGAATGTAAATGTTTGAATAAAAGTAATTTTTAATTGAATTCTAATAATTAAAATTACTAATATCAATTGCTTCATAAAGACTTTTGTCAATTAAATAAAATAATGCTACCTCTTTCTGAACAATAAGTTAAAAATAATGTACTTCACATTGCATTAAATAAGATTTCTCTGTTTAAAATGGCGTATATAATTTATTTTGTGTTGACATTATTAGTATCAAGATATTTTGAATATTATCGAAGCTTATAAAAATAAATTTTATGTTATTCGAGTATTTTTTTTAAATAAAACTTTGTAAAAGTTTAGAGTCACTTAGGTTGAAACATCTTCAACATCATTAGCAGCTAAACTAATTCAAAATGAATGAAAAGTCAAGCCTTTGTGTGCGGTGCAAGTCTACCTTCAGAATTGATACAAATGAAAATTTTTAAAACAGAATTTGCACATTTTAAATTTAACAAAAAGTAAAAAACTAATATTTTTTTGTAGGATTTAAGTATACATTATTATAGTAAACTATGTTTTTTTTATAACTGATATATCTATATTACAATAATATTTTTTTTTATTTGAGTGCAAATCATTGTGTCTCGTATCGCTATTTTTGCTTAAAAACTATAGAAATTTTTAAATGTAAAAAAATAAAATTAAAAAGTTAAAAAATACTAGAAGTCATGAAAAATAAAAATTAATATAAATTTTTATAATATGCAAAGGAGAATAAATAAACATCAAAGCCATACTTATTACCGTCCTATTAATATTTTTAATAAATAAAAAAATGATATATCATATAAAAATATGAATAATATAATAATTTAAGTAAGTTAATTACATTGATAAAATTTAGTATTTAATATTTCTTTTAGTTTATTTTCTATCATTTATCATAAAACCTAGATATTGGGTTCTTTCTAATTTCTCTAATAACAACAAACAAACAAGCAAAAATTACATAGTGGATCACATAACTACTTACTATATATATAAATATCAATTAAATTTTCACAACTATATATCGTAAAAATTTGTTAAGATTTTCTTTTCAGAATTATTCTTTAAAGTAACTATTTTCTGATTCAAAGTTAATCATAATTTAAGCCTGTTCCAAAATCTCAAATTTGTAGTCTCTAAGGTTTTAATAATTACTAAAAAAATAATAACTAAAAAAAATATATAACAACTATAAAATACTATATTTTCTAAATTATAAGAAGTAAAAATTAAGGTGCACATGCGTCATTGCGCGCGTAAGCTTTTTCTCCGATGTTCCCTTTTTCTTCTTTCTGCTCCGTTCTCGTTGTTTCAGTATCAGCAAATTTGACAGTTGTTCTTCTCTTTTCTGCTTAAAACTTTTTCCTCTCTTCTGCTTCAAATCTTTCTCAATTTGTTCAAATCATTTGTAACTTTTCCATCTACTCTGATACCAAACAGAGTCACTGTTAGTTGGTTTATTCGTTATTGGATGAACGCAATTCGTTCTCGTTGGTTTATGAGAATGGCAGAAGACCTTGGAAAGAGCAACCTCGAATCCTCTGCTGCTTCTGTTTCCACGGCAACCTCGCGACGCTTTTGGCCTTCCGTCTTACGTTGGATACCCACTTCCACCGACCACATCATCAATTCCGAGAAGCGACTTCTCTCTCTTGTCAAGTACGCTTCTCACCAAACCTAAATTCTCCGTTTGTCTTTCTGCAATTGCCACCTGTTTTACGCACTGAACGTGAATCGTGGACAATTTTTTGATGAACTGATTGTTTCCTTCTGTTTTCCTCTTCTGACCATGGATTTGGTTCACTTGTTGATGTGCTTTTAAATCTCTGAATATTGTTGTTCACGATGCTTATTAATGGACTAATAGAGAAATAGTAACAACATATTATTCAATGCTTATCGAAAATCACAAAAAATTATGGGTTTTACTTATTTACTTAATCACACTCATGATTTTTGTAGTTCTTCAATAAATTATAACTAAAGAAAGAATATACTGGAAGATATATTAACACTCCTATTCTGAAGTTATCCTAAGGAGATTGGTGGAAACCATACACATGATGGTTTCGGATAAATTTAACTAAATAACTACGGTAACTTCATCTTAAATAACTGCTGGGGCATTAGCAGGATGAGCTGGATTCTTTTACTCCTCGTGTAACAGTAACAAAAAAGGGTGTTTAGCCTGAAATTGTAAATTTAAGTTGTATATGTATATATAGGGTTGTGATGTTTTTCTTTTCTTTTTGTGCAGGACTCCATATGTTCAAGAACAGATTAATATTGGTTCTGGTCCACCTGATTCCAGAGTTAGATGGTTTCGTTCATCGAGCAATGAACCACGGTTTATTAACACTGTCACATTTGACAGTAAGGATGACTCTCCCACTTTGGTAATGGTTCATGGATATGCCGCGTCACAGGGTTTCTTTTTTCGTAATTTTGATGCACTTGCCACTCGTTTCAGAGTTATTGCTATCGATCAACTTGGGTGAGCTTTGGCTTCACTTCATCCATGATTGCAAATTAGTTTTTTTCAACCTGATTATTCAATTAGTGACATTTTTTGCAGTTGGGGTGGATCTAGCAGGCCTGACTTTTCATGCAGAAGCACTGAAGGTCAGTGCCAGAGTTGATTTGGAATTGGGAATGTTTAATGCTTTTGTTTAACTTGAAAGTTACTGTGACAAAATGCTAAACTTCTTGATACAACAGAAACTGAGGCGTGGTTCATTGATTCTTTTGAGGAATGGAGAAAAGCCAAAAACCTGAGCAATTTTATACTACTAGGGCATTCTTTTGGTGGTTATGTTGCTTCCAAATACGCACTTAAGGTGAGTTTCTTTCTGCATTGCATTAAAATGAGTTGTTTGGTTTCCTTTTTTAGATTGTTGTTCTGATATATATCTTATAATTTATACATAGCACCCCGAACATGTAAAACACTTGATTTTGGTGGGACCTGCTGGATTTTCGTCTGAATCAGAGAGAATTACAAAGTTCTTATCTACATGGAAGGGATCAATCCTGAATCAAATATGGGAATCTAATTTTACGCCTCAGAAAATCATCAGGTAGAATTTACCAGGTCCCTATTTTTTTCATCCTATTATGTTTATACTTTATTATTTTTATAATCTATAGCTAGAAGGAAATATCATTCAGAAAATGTAAAGTATAGAGACACTAGAAATAAAAGCCACTCCTTTTTTATTTCAGTTCTTTTGCGCCTTGGTGGTGTATCGCATGCTTGTATATCATCTGTAAATGGTTGGATTTCAAATGTTTGTTTAGTTACTTCGTCTGATATTCAATTATAATAATGTAGTGATCACTAGATGCACGAATGGACACCAAAATCTTTAAAATGTTTTCAAGTAAGTTGTTATCGAAACTAACTTTTTTATCTGATGATAACAAGCACCATATATTTGTCCACATTTTCACGTCAGTACATCTGATTCTTAGTTATCTTTTCTAATGACACCGTTACTGAAGTAGGCAAATATATGTAGTTAAATTCACATTGTCTCTTTATTGAATGATTAGTGGGATTAAATTTAATCTCTAAGTCATGGACATAAATACTTTTGGATAGAACAGTTTTTGCTTTGTCTAGTCTCTCACATGGAACCTAACTTCTGGTGTGGCAAATTGTGGAATCATAATATTCCTATCAAATATATTGAGGGGTTGGTTGTAGAGGAAAGGGGACGATTAAAGAAAAAGTTGAGAATTGATCATAGGAATACAAATATAGAAAAGAATATGATTTTTTTTTTTTGTTTTTCTTTTCATTTGTTAACATTTGTTTGTAGTGTTATTTCTGTTTAATATTTTCTTCTCATATTTTTTGGCAGGGGTTTAGGTCCTTGGGGTCCTGATATGGTCCGCAAGTATACCAGTGCCAGGTTTGTTACACATACAACTGGAGAAATGCTGACAGAATCTGAATCAAGATTACTGACAGGTATGCTGACATAGATAACCATACATGGTTTAGTTGTGAATGTACATATCTTTTCTCTTCCCTTCTTTTTGAGTACTCAGTGTTATTTTGCTATTGCAGATTATGTTTACCATACTTTAGCAGCGAAAGCTAGTGGCGAGCTGTGCTTAAAATATCTATTTTCATTTGGAGCACTGCCGAGGTCGCCTCTTCTTGACAGGTTTGTTGATCATATTATTGAATTAACATTTCATTTCTTCATTTCGATTGCAAAATACAACGTCTCTAATCGGAAGATTGTTATTAGTTTTTTTTTATCAGCAAATAGTAAAACAATGTTATTCAGATCCAGATGATAATTACTTTATCATATAATATGAAACGAGACTGAGACAAATGGAAGTTTTCTATGGTTTGAAAATCCTATGTGAATATCCAAAATTCTGAACATGTAAACGTTTGAGTACGCAGTTTTCTACAGATGTGCCATATGACCATTGGCTTTAGCAGTGGTTGTGTCAAAACTTTATCAGTGTATTGCATCGAATCATCTACTCCTCTTATACAGGATGTACTCCTTCATGTTCTCGCGGCTTGTGTTATGTTCTTAAACTCCATTTTTCTGGTTTCACAGGGCATCAGAGTGGAAGGTGCCCACCACTTTCATATATGGTTTTCAGGACTGGATGAATTATGAAGGAGCTCAAAAAGCTCGCAAAGATATGAAGGTTCCCTGTGAAATACTTAGGGTTCCTCAGGTATCTCACTCTCTCCATTTTCCCAAATAGTAAAGTTTCTTCAATCTTATTTGGATTAACAAACTTCATTCAATTATAACAGGCCGGGCACTTTGTGTTCATTGACAACCCAAGTAGCTTTCATTCAGCTGTGTTTTACGCTTGCCGAAGGTTTCTAAGTTCTGATCCAGACCGTGAATCCCTTCCTGAATGGCTAATCTCAGCATAGAGTATAATAATCTTGTTCCTCTGCACTGCTGTCTATGATTATTTACAATTTCACAAATTAAATTCCTTAATTATTTCAAGCCATGTCCTGTTCATGCTTAAATGGATTTTTCATCTCTAAGGGCATTTTAAAAAATAATGACCTGTAATATAGATCTTGTCACTAAAATATGTTCATTATAACTTGTTATTAGGTTGTCTATTTATTGTGTTACTGGTGAAAATTTATAATCAACTACAACTATAATGTAAATACGATATCTGTTGACATGTATACTGTTTATTTTTTTATAATCTCAATTGTTTGGTTGAAGAATAAGAAAAAATGAAATTTAAATATAGATAATGTAATATATTTGAGTGAAGAGTATATTTGATATTTCTTATCTTTAACATTTTTCTTGGCTGTATTGAAGAGGGAAAACCTTTGCCCCCATTTTACTTTTTGAAGTGTTACAAATGAAAAAAAAAAAGACTTTTCGAGAATTCTTGTAGCATGTTTGGTTTAGATTATTTTGAAGAAAATTATTTATTCGAAAAGAAATAATTATTTTTAAATCAGTTAAATTAATCAGTAATGTATTATCTTAGATTGATTTTTTTTTCTATTAAGATCAAATATAGGAAAATATACCATTGTGGTATAATTTTTCACAAAATTACCGGAATAACCAAAATTAAAACTTATTATTTAATTACACGTAAGTCGTGTTTTAAAATTAAACACTTTTATGTCAAAGAAATCGTATTTAAAAACTTCGAATTGAACTTTAATTTTAAAATTCCAAAGGAGTTTTGGTTAGCTAAAAGTAACTTTCAAATTTTATTTTTGCACGTGCACAATTTTAATTTTGTTAATTGTCTGAATTAATTAAAGCCATATGAAACAAATATGAATAGCATTTTTTTTATTAAATTTGTGCATAATAAAGACGATTTACAATTTTTATGATAAAGATGACTAATCATTTCTTTCAAGAAGTATTACATGACAAACAACTTGTGTTGTTTTATTGTTAAATTTAATTGTATATATTAAGCATAATTTCCTTTGAAGAGAAATTACGCATCGACCTAAACCTTTTTTTTTCTTAATTTCATTAAAAAATTAAAAAGGAACATATCAATATTTTTAAAAACACATACAAAATTAAAAATAAAAACAAAAATATAAATATATAAAAGTTTAAACTAAAAATTAAAAATAAATTAATATTTTAATAATTTATTAAATAACTCATTTTTCTTAAAATCATAAAAAAAATATAAAAATAAAAATATTAATATTTAGAACATTAAGTTAATCTTTTATGTTGTTTCTTATAAAGGTAACTTTAAGATAAGTAATATTTCTTAATATAACTTATGATTCAATTAAAAATTAAATATTAATGTGTGGGACGATGATCCTTGAAATTAAATTAAACATCCATTTTGAAATCTTAGTATTACCAGTGAGAACTTATCCATGGTTTTCCTATAAACAGTTGATTTCAATTAAAAATTCTATTAAGGCCAACTTTCTGAAATTATAAATATATCTCATCTTTTTCCAGATTTCACATTTCTCACTTACATTAATGCAAATACTAAACAATTAAAAAAACTGCTTAAACAACTGAATTGCATATTACAAAGTCAATATTTTATTAATATGTGACAACATTTTATTTAATCCAGTTCACATTTATTTTATTAAATTTCCAAATTGTGGAAAAATATAAAATAGTTGAAAACATTTTTCATTGCGACATGCGCTAGAGAGTAGAGTGTAGCAAACAAACAGGGTTTTAAGTTCAATGGAAACGCTGCTACCTCGCGTTGGCCTCCCTCTCTGCACTCCGCACCCAACAATTAACCGTTTTACAAAACCTAATAAGCTCCGTTCCTCCTCTTCCGTCGCCGGCCGCGGCGGAGGTTCTCTCTCCGCCACCTGCGCCACCAGTAGATGGGCGGAGCGCCTCATTGCCGATTTCCAATTCCTCGGAGACGGCTCATCGGGTGCCACCGCCACTCTGAGCCCCTCCTCCGTTCCTCCGCGACTGGACCCTCCCGAGCGCTTCGTCTCCATCCCGCTCGACCTGTACCGTGTACTAGGCGCGGAGTCGCATTTTCTGGGCGACGGCATTCGCAGAGCCTACGAAGCGAAGTTCTCGAAGCCTCCTCAGTATGCATTCAGCAACGACGCGTTAATTAGCCGCCGTCAAATTCTCCAAGCCGCGTGCGAAACCCTAGCGGATCCTGCTTCCAGAAGAGAGTACAATCAAGGCCTCGTCGACGACGAAGACGCCGCCATTCTCACTCAAATCCCATTCGACAAAGTAATTCACTCTATTTAGCTTAATTGGAATTTTAATTCTCTTACTGTAGTCATTTTTCGTGAATTTGACGTCTCCATTTTATTTTTCTTTTTAGCGGATTTGATATCATTATTTTAATTGTGGAATTTGTGTCGCTAAGAGAAATGTTAATTTGGCGATGCATAAAGTTTCTGATGAGTTTTTCTTTTAAATGTTGGATGTAAAATTGTACAATTGAACTTGGGTGTGGCGAAGAAAAAGTAACATGTCTATGGCAGGGACCGATGCTGTAACCAATGCTTCTTCTACTTTCTCTTCCTTTTTTTAACGTAATGTAGTTTGATTTTTAGTTGGTTCACTGATAACTGAAGTGGTTGGTTCGTAGGTTCCTGGAGCGTTGTGCGTGTTGCAGGAAGCTGGAGAGCCCGAGCTTGTGCTTGAGATTGGGCAGGGTTTGCTTAGGGAGAGGTTGCCGAAGACGTTCAAGCAGGATGTTGTGTTGGCTATGGCGCTCGCTTTTGTTGACTTCTCAAGGGATGCCATGGCTTTGCCCCAACCAGATTTCATTGCAGCTTGTGAGATGCTTGAGAGGGCATTGAAGCTTTTGCAGGTGATTCACACTCCTATATGTTCTGTTTGCTTCTTTAAACGTTGAATAAGTAGTTCATAGAATAAATAATTCATGCACTGATAGTAAAAAGTTTCTTTGTAATGTTTTGAATCACAAATTCATTACAATTTAACTTCTTGATATGACATTCTAAGGCTTTACTACCACATATGCCGGTTAGCTTCTATATTATTGCTCTAGTTAATTTATTTCTCTCTCCTTACTTATGTAAGCTTTCTCCACGTCATTTTTTACTCATTTACTGCAACTGTATAAATTTTTCAACAATTAGATTATTGAAGGGTAAAATAGACAAAGTAGTTGTTAATAGTATACTTGGATTTGAAAAGGAGAGACAAATAAGAACAAAAATCATCTTCTAAATTATAAAGAAAAAAAGAGGAGGGAGTAACACATTAAATGCTGGAGGAATGCTAACAAGCTATAGAGCATGTGCATTTTAAATTTGGTCCATTCTTTCATCATAACTTTATGAGAGCAAGCATTGTTGCAAATGTCCAATGGTAACGTTGCGATGTTGTGACCTGTGGGTCAGAAATAGACTCTCGTGGTGGCAGGGCTTAGTTCTTGTACATTTACCTTTCAAGGCACTACTATCTGGAGCCTCATCTACGGTGTCTCTTCTTTATTCTTCCAATACAATTTTAAACCTCCAATGTAAAAAACTTTTGTCATGTTGATGATTTCATAGATTGCTGTTGTCATATCAAAGCAATNTGGAGGGAGTAACACATTAAATGCTGGAGGAATGCTAACAAGCTATAGAGCATGTGCATTTTAAATTTGGTCCATTCTTTCATCATAACTTTATGAGAGCAAGCATTGTTGCAAATGTCCAATGGTAACGTTGCGATGTTGTGACCTGTGGGTCAGAAATAGACTCTCGTGGTGGCAGGGCTTAGTTCTTGTACATATACCATTCAAGGCACTACTATCTGGAGCCTCATCTACGGTGTCTCTTCTTTATTCTTCCAATACAATTTTAAACCTCCAATGTAAAAAACTTTTGTCATGTTGATGATTTCATAGATTGCTGTTGTCATATCAAAGCAAATCACTGTCATTTTGTATAGACAATAATGGTCCTAGAAGTTGAAATGTGTGAATGAAAAGCATTTAGTATATAATTTCTTTTGAAGCTTTGTACTATTACATTTTTAAATTTTCTTCTTGTATTTAATGTGCTATAACATAATTTGCATATAGTAATGTATCTTGAAGATTTCTATGTTGTGCTTGCATTGCTATATACTGCACAATAACCCCCCTGATCATGTAGGAAGAAGGGGCAACCAGCCTTGCTCCCGATTTGCAAGCTCAAATAGACGAGACGCTAGAAGAGATAACCCCACATTGTGTTTTGGAACTTTTAGCCTTGCCACTTGATGACGAACATCGAACACGGAGAGAGGAAGGTCTTCTTGGTGTTCGTAACATTTTGTGGGCAGTTGGAGGAGGGGGTGCAGCTGCCATTGCTGGGGGTTATACCCGTGAAGACTTCATGAATGAGGCATTCTTACACATGACAGCATCCGAACAGGTTTTCCTAAATAAAGTTTTAAGACTTTTCTTTCTATTTTTCTTTGTTTACTAATAGAAGAATTTACATTTATTTTTTATCTTTTCCTCAAATCTTATTTTGAAGGTTGAACTTTTTGTTGCCACGCCAAGTAATATTCCAGCTGAGAGTTTTGAAGCTTACGGAGTGGCACTTGCTCTTGTTGCACAAGCCTTTGTGGCTAAAAAGCCGGATCTTATCCAAGATGCTGATAATTTGTTCCAACAACTTCAACAGACTAAGGTTACAGCTTTGAGGAATGCTCCCTCTGTTTATACTCCCAGTGAGAAGAGAGAGATTGATTTTGCTTTAGAAAGGGGTCTTTGTGCACTGCTGGTTGGGGAGCTCGATGAATGTCGGTCATGGTTGGGACTAGATACCGATAGCTCTCCTTATAGAAACCCGTCTATTATAGAATTTATTATGGAAAATGCAAAGGGGGATGAAGACAGAGATCTTCCTGGACTTTGTAAATTGTTGGAAACATGGCTGATGGAGGTGGTTTTTCCTAGGTTTAGAGATACAAAAGAAACAAGTTTCAAGCTTGGAGATTATTATGATGACCCTACAGTGCTTAGATATCTAGAAAGG